CCAGGTTGCAAACAATTAGAATAACACTACAACTGTCATAGCAGCTGAGAGGAATAGTCAATCACTAGGATTTAGTTGACATTTTATATGCATATTTATTGGCTGTATATAGGGAATACCTTCCTTATACAACTTTCCAGTCAAAGCACTCATTTGGAGAAATATAGAACTAGACTTATTCATTTTTTTTGTCACGTTCAACCCTACTCACCCCACTTGCCATGTGGTGAAATTCCAGTTTTATTTGATGAACTTCACATGCATAAGACTGGTCTTTGCATTTGTGCCCAGCCTCTGTTTTAAGACCCAGCCCTTTGGGATTGGTGGGCAATTGTAGAATTTTTATCTCTTGGAAACATTATTGGTAGAAGTGCTTGCCCATTTATAAAATTGCTATATTGGGAACATAACCAACCTATCATCAATTTCTTAGAATACTACTTGCCGCTTCCTTCTTTTGTATTTTCATGTTTATAGTTGCCATGTTAAGCAAGCAAAGAAAATTTCTCAATGAAGTATAGCCATCCATCTTTTCTTTTCTTGTAAATAAAGGTGACATTGAAGTTGAATCTTTGCAGTATGACACCTTCCCATTACTAATGAAAATTTTAAAAACGCAACAGGGGCAGGAAGCTGATGGGATATCAAGGGAAGTGACTGTGGACACATTGAAGTCCTGAGATCTACCTAGGAAACCTTGCACCCTTTAGTTAAGAAATTTAATCATAAATTACAATTGTCAACTATGACAAAATTATACTAGTTGCAACAAAAGAGATTGCCTATTACATAATAGTATTTCAAGTTGCAAATAGCCATATTAAAATAGAAATCTGTTTTAAACAGTGTTTAGATACATACTATGGAGATGTGTTATTGGCATATTTCCATTATTACTCTTGTTTGTATAAAAACACTTATTTGTACAGCTATCAATATGAAGATTCAATAGATCTTAATCTTCATATTTGTTAGCAAAGCTTAAGGATGTAATTACAACATCAGTGCCTGAAAAAGTGTGAATATATCATTGCTTGCAGTGATGAGTATCTAGCTGCGCAAGAACAGAACAATGAGAACATTGAAAGGGACACACAACTATTCTTAATTACAGCACAGATAGAAATCTACAATGTTATTCTATCTACATTACTCTTGTGAAAATAAAATTATGACATCAATAAACGAAAATGAGTGATTTATGATATAAATTTAGATTTTTGTCCTTCAACCAAATGTGAAGAAGATTATTGATATTTAAAAGCATTTTCCTTTGTTTTATTCTGGTTTTACACTTAGCGTGTTTCCCTGAAAATAAGACAGGGTCTTACTTTCTTTTTATACACAAAATATGGCTTGGGCCTTATTATGAGGAGAGAGTTTATCGTTTTGGGGTTGCCAGGCGCTGCTCTCTTGCGAGTGGGCTCCCAAAGCCGGGAACAGCCTCATGAGCGAATGGCTGTGTTGCGCTGTCGCAGCAGCACAACACAACAGCCATGAAGCGACCACGCTCACGAGCAGCCACCCAGCAAACCCCCTTTCCAGCCGGGCACAGCGCCATTCACTGACCTAGGGGTATCACCAAGCCGCATGAGCGCCTGTTCGCTGCTGCCCGGCTCCCGCGGCTTGGCACCTTCGAAATGCCAGTGAATGGTGCTCTTCACGGCTGGAGAGGGGGGTTGTGTGAGCGGCTGTTCCACTCTCATGTGCCTCCCAGCCTCACGATGCCCTGGCCCAGCTCTCCCTGCAGAGCCAGGGCATCTCCACCACTGCCATCCCAGTATGGCTTTTTTGGCAGCTTCCAAACCAAGTCTTCTGGCAGTGGCCGCTTTGGGTATACGCTCTATGGTTGTAAGCTCTGCCGACAGCCAGCCCACAACCATAGAGCGTACGCCCAGAGCCGCCACTGCCAGAAGACTCAGTTTGGCAGCTGCCGAAAAAGCCATGTTGGGATGGCGGCAGCGGCAACGGAGGTGCCCTGGCTCTGCAGGGACAGCTGGGCCAGGGCATCGTGAGGCTGGGAAGTGAGCAGGAGCGGAACAGCCACTCACACAACCACCTTCTCCAGCCGTGCAGAGCACCATTCACTGGCATTTTAAAGGTGCCAAGCCATGAGAGCCAGGCGGTGGCGAACAGGCACTCATGCGGCTTGGCAATACCCCTAGATCAGTGAATGGTGCTGTGTCCAGATGGAAAGGGGGTTTGCCGGGTGGCTGCTGTGCCCGGCTCTTTGGGAGCCCGCTCGCAAGAGAGCAGCCGCCCAGCAACCCCCCTCTTCAGCTGGGCACAGTGCCACTCACCAACCTAGAGGTATCCCAAAGGCACTTAGCAACGTGATCATCTTTGCCCCCCTCTGGTTTCCGCGGCTTGGCACCTTCGGGATACCACTAGGTTGGTGAACGGCACTCTGCCTGGTCGGAGGTGGGGGGGTTGTCCAGGGGGCTTATTTGTGGGGGAGGGCTTATATTTTTGCCCACCAGAAAAATGTGACATGGCCTTATTATCAGGACATGTCGTATTTTGGGGGAAACACAGTAGGACATATATGTAGAGTCCCAGACATTGGCTAATACTGAATCCTGAAGGCTGTATTTGTTGGAAGCTATGGCATTGGAAAATAATATTGTGACATCAATTAAAAGTCACACATTTTTTTCTCATCTCTTCGTTGTTCTTGCAACTTCTCCAATTGTATGCATGAATCACTGTTTTCTATTGTAAATAATTGATAGGATGTATTTAATTTATTCAGTGTAAATTGATCTTCCATTTTTAATTTTCTTTCTTTTACTTTCACATCTATACAATATTTCATACCATTCTTACACTGGCTAAATGTATTTGCTTGTTCGTGTAATTAGATTTTTTTTTTAAAGAAATAATACACCAAAATTGTTGTTCTTTCTTTTGTAAGATATTTTATAATGTCTTATTCTCAGGTTAAAAAAATAGGCTCTTCCCTTGTAAACTTTGGATGCCACTGTTATTTGAAGGTTTTTAATGAAATCTATTCCATGAAACAAGTAATAGGGAATAATCCATATATTTGCATAACAATAGTCCTAATTACTATTTAATGCATACTGTTTGAATCCACTCCAGATTACTTTGTTAGGAAAAGTTTGGGGTTTTTTTTGTTTTTGTTCTTAGTGGAAAACAAGGTCTCTCATTCAAAGGACCTTTTTTCTCGTTGGCATACTAATAAACAAATTGCAAATTTAGCAATTTGATGTAAATTGAGTTTTTGGTGGATCTATCATTTCGCTGTCAATTAATGTGTCATAGTTCTATACCAGTGTTTTTCAACCACTGTGCCGCGGCACACTAGTGTGCCGTGACATAGTGTAAAGTGTGCCGTGGAAAAAACATTTATATATAGTCAATATAGGCACAGAGTTCATTTTTTTTAACATTTTCTAATGGTGGTGTGCCTCGTGATTTTTT